GAAAGAAGGTATTAAATAAAATACAAAAAGCAGCAAGAAAAAGAAACCTATTAACTGGTACTTATTTATACCAGTCATCCGGGTCTCAGATCTCAATCCCGACTTCCATTTACCTTCGTCGTCAACGAAACATAAAACTTGCAAATGAGAAAGAAGGTATTAAATAAAATACAAAAAAGCAGCAAGAAAAAGAAACATATTAACTGGTACTTATTTATACCAGTTCCAAGCCACCCGGGTTCAGATCTCAGCTTGACTTTCATTTATCTTCGTCGTCGACGAAACATAAACTTGCAAATGAGAAAGAAGGTATTAAATAAAATACAAAAAAGCAGCAAGAAAAAGAAACCTATTAACTAGTACTTATTTATACCAGTCACCCGGGTCTCAGATCTCAATTCCAACTTCCATTTCACCTTTGTCGTTGACGAAACATAAAACTTGCAAATGAGAAAGAAGGTATTAAATAAATACAAAAAGCAGCAAGAAAAAGAAACATATTAACTGATACTTATTTATACCAGTTCCAAGTTCTACCTGGGTTCAGATCTCAATCCCGACTTCCATTTCATCTTCGTCGTCAACGAAACATAAAACTTGCAAATGAGAAAGAAGGTATTAAATAAAATACAAAAAAGTAGCACTAACTGGTATTTATACCATTTCGAGTATTCTTATTTCGGGTCACGTGACACATAATTACGTTAATTCAATTTGATCAATGTAAACGTCAAACAATGGTAATATAATGAAATTCGATCAAAGTTTAATTTTTTACTTTATAAGGGTTTTGATTACTAATCGACACTTTTTCTTTTTATTCTTACTCAAAAAATCATAAATGCGAATACGTGAAATCACAAGGACAAGAAAATGCGACAAACAATTTTTATTACAAAATTTAGAGTCAAGTGAAATAACTACAACTTCTACTAGATAATTTTCAAAGTTAAGAAATCAAAGCATATATTTGGGCCAGAACTTAAGCGTAGGATATGCAACTTATAGAGGACACTTCTTGCGCCTATCGATCTTAATTTTATTACAGTAGGGTGTTCGATATACTATGTATTGTATATATAGTCTAATAGTGGAATTTCATCGATAGCACTTCTGTACTATGGTATAACATGCCACTCGGGCATTATACCTATTTTTTGTCAAAATTACGGGGATACAATTTTTTGTGGGTGCGTTAATGAGGATTTATTTTATGATAATTTCGATTTATCATTTTACAAAAATCGTTACGTTGAAACCTGTCACGTTAAAACTTATTAGAAATAACTAATTTTAGTGATGTAAATTACCTTTAATTTTTAGAATCAAGGTGCAATTTTAATATATATGAAATAGAGGTTTATATAACATAATAAAAATTTGATTTAAAGGTTCAAATTTTAATTACTTAATACGTTTTTGAGATATAGCACCTTGGTGATTTAACTAGGGGCAAGTTAGCAATATCCTTTTTATTATTATTTTTTTTTTTCTTTGCAATTGCTTTTTTAATTTTTTCTTATTTGCATTTTATTTGTTATTTTCTGGTAGCTTTCGTGGTCTTTCACGTTTCTTTGGACGGGCTTCTTCCCTGTTATCATTATCCTGAGCAATGTTTGTTGGCTCTGACACCAGGTTTTTAGGTCGTCCACGTTTTTTGAGATGCTGACTTCTCCTATAAGTGATGATCATCAATACTGTTAGAAAATATTTGTTATATTCCACACAACAAAGTCATGCATAATTGTCTTTGCCGATTGAGGAACAATCGGCACCATAGCCTGGTATCTTATTTTTGTTGATAAAATTCAACAAATGTGTGAAATTTATATAGTGTCCATCTATGCCCATTATTATTGGAGGGAGAAACCTGTCAATTTCCTTGAGAAAATTAGCGACGTCTTCGCATCGCACTAGAGGGCAACATGAAGTATTTTTGCATTTTCTTATATCTAAAGAATAGTTGCATATTTTGGCATGAACTTCTAGCCACTCCCAGGGCACAGTAGTTTCATCGTTAGATCCTGGAAACTTGATGGAGAATGGGGAGCTGTTGGTTTCAACATACTCCGTTATGACCGACTTTTCAAATAATGGGTCCCGGTTCCAAAGATTACACAACAACTCCTCTGCATATTTGAAATTTCTTTTTGCGAGTTCCTTATCAATAACTTGGCCTTGGAAGTTTAAGTGGGAACCATAGGTATCACTGGCAACACTACGCCCGCAAGTTTTTGGGATAATGATGCCATACCTTGTTATATTTGAATTGACCTGGAATAATTAATAGAATTAACTAATATTTAGATAACTAGTTGCAGTAATTAAAACTACACAAAATTAATTACAATCAGATCTCTCCAAATGCATCCCATAGGAACCAAAATTTTATTTGGATTACTATTTTAGTTAGAAATATAATTATATGAACACTAACCTGGAGCATGCATCCGAACAGTTAAATAGTCCAGGTCAAATGTTTGAAACATTGTTGAGTATTGGACGATATTTTTTATGTGCCTGGGATTTTCATCTGGGCCCCCATCAACAAGAAGGACCCAGATAGGTTTAATTTTATTTTCAATTTTTAGTATACCATCCAGGTGGCTATCTTCCACCAATGAATTTAAGTCGTATATGTGGGTTGTGGAACTTGTACCAACTCCATATTGGGGATGAATAAAGATTGAGAGTTGGCTGTTTCGGAGTTTAGTATTCATATCATTAGGGTTCATTATCAAGTACACTGATGGAATTAGTTTTTGCCGCTCACCTACCGGGAAATCGTGATCAGGGACTGTAACGGGCTCTCCAATTGTTTGTATGGCTTTGAAGGTTCTACCAACTGCCAGTATGCCAAGAGGGACTTTGGCCTTATCATCCTGTGAAATGACGACCGAAAAATTTAAAAATAATGATGCAAATAGTCTTGCCGCCTTTATAGAGGCAAGACAATAATGTTCATCTGGGTGCTCAGTTTTATCAGTTCTAGAAACTGATAAGACCGCGACATTTGCAAGATGATAATGGGTCTTGGCTGCTATTGAGTTTGAACGTGATAGCAAGAGATAATTATTTACAGTTGTTCTAGATATATATTCACCATATATATTACTAAGTTTTTTTGCAAGATGGCCAACTGTTCTAACTTTTATCACCTCTCTTCTTCTTTTTTTATCTGCAGCCCCAAACTCAATGCTCTCATGGATTCAATCAAGTAAATCGAGATGTTTTTGTAATAAAGATGGGCAGCCAGGTTTATTATATTTAACAACTACCTGATTTTCTTCTAAAAGTTTATTTCTAATAAGAACTAGAATAGTAAGTATTAGAATTTGAATTTAAATTTAAATTAATTATTATTAGACCATACAAAGTTGATTTTTCGTTTTGCATTATATGGATTTCAAAATTCAGGACGGACAGACAGATTTTTTTTTTTTTTTTAATTTGTTATAAATTAATAGTCTTATGTTGCAACTAAGGCTATATGAAGTTGATTTTACGCTTTGGATAACACGGAATCAGAAATTTGTGTGTTGGCAGTCAGATTTTTCTATAGGTCTTATCGGACAATTCTGGAAAACCAGTCTCCACCGGATAATTTATGGAAAAAAATTAAATAGCAAAAATAGAATAATTAGAGCAATTGGAAATTAAAAAAAAAAAAAAAATCAGAAAAATTGAAAAAATGGGACGGCAGGTAATGTAAAACGAAAATTTAACTTTGCGTGGCCTTATTAATATTAATAATAACCTTTTTTCCACACTATTACATTTATACTCTGCTTGCTTTTGTAGGTGGTTAATTCTTTTATTTTCTGTATGGATAACTTGTTTGTGTTCTTGTATATCATTCATTAAGTTAATTCGATCCTCTAAGCTATTCGAGAAGTTATAGGCTCTTTGACATTTGGCGATCTTTTTATTTGTATCATTAATAATTTCTATAGCTTGATTTTGTGCTGCTACGTTTGGTGGAGGTGAATTAGGAGCAACGATTTCCTCGATTATTCGTGGCAGTATGACAGGAGCAGTACTAAGGTTATGGGTTGGCTGAATGGTGTCAATATCAGTAGAACTGAGGTTATAGATAGGCTGAGTTATGTTGATATTGGTAGTATTGAGGCTATGAAGAGGTTGAATAATATTGGTGTCGGCAAGATTAAGGCTATAAGTGGTCAGGATATTGGTGCTAGCGGTATTGGCTACATTAAGGTTATGAATAGTGTTGATGTTGGCAGCATTAAAATTATAAGCGGTTAGGGTGTTAGTGTTAGCAGTATTGGCTGCATTAAGATTATGAGTGGTATTGATGTTGGTAGCATTAAGGATATGAGTAGCGGTATTAAGGTTGGCGGCACTAGTGTTGGAGTTTTGGACAATAGATATTACAGGAGTAAGAATGTCAATGATGTTCTCGATTTCATGTATCGGTTTGTTTTTAATTTCTTTCCACTCATTATTACACTCATTACACAATAACTCCTTCTTATATTTTGGATTTTTAGTAA